AGGGCTGAGGGAGCGACTGAACAACGATGGGTCCTCCGAGGTGGATATCACCCACAATGCATTGCAGTTTACGTCATTGCCGCTATAACGCTGAGTAAGGGCAAGTGCGTTTCATTTAAATCCCCCGCTCCTCCCCCGCCCACTTTCCCTCCGTGCGACGTATGCTGTTACGTCATACCAAGGGCTGAGGGTAAGTGAACGAGGGGAAGTGGAACTACTAATGAAACGCAGCCTTAGTCTCCTACAGCAGTGGTTCCCAAACTGGGTTTTGCCCAAGCTTTACATGGGATTGCAAGACCCTGTTGAAGGGGTGTAATAGCTTTGAATTTCCTTCAGTTCTGTGAAGAAAACTAAAAACGTCACCCCACTCCCAAGCCCTCATCGTCTGAAGCTGAGGGAGACCACTCTACGTTGTCACACGTTTCAGACACTGCAAAAGACTTACGCTTTCACTGAGAGACTCTTCACTGTGAAAGGTGGACATTCAGCGCCACGCCACGGACACACAGTTTGACGCACAGTAAATATTTGATTAACTTATGATCACCAATGTGTCTAGATTGCAGTGATCAAATATGCAGTCAATATGATAAAATCTGTAGGAGTAAGTTAAAATAGAAGTGCGGGAAATGGCATCACAGTGGCCGACTTTGACGGCACGCCACGGACACACCCCTCAACGTATAGTCACAAATAGCACAACTTGTAATCAGCAACATTTTTCAAGTGTACTGTCCAGTTTTGAAGCAGATCTGATAAATTCCCTAGGAGTACTTCGTTCAAATACAAAGCGAAAAAGTGAAAATGAAAATCAAAATAGCCAACTTCCTGTGGGTTTTGGGGCATGGGTCCAAGAGGCTTTTCTGTAGGTCTCGGCACGTAACGTGCCTACCAAGTTTCATACATATTGGTGAAACGTGGCGCCGGGGCTACTTTGTGAAATACTGTAGGGGGCGCTACAAACACCACAAACATGATTTTTGGTATGTGAGCTACAGGCACCAGTCTACACGTGCCATGTGAATTTCATATTCATAACTATTACATTCTCCACAGAGTGATTTACCATGCCACCAGAGCACCACCTAGTGGCGGATTGTTGACACAGTTTTTAGCAAGCCTCAGGGAGCCATTGGCAAGGATCGTACCAAGTTTCGTTTTAATCATACATGCCCATGTGGAGATATAAACTTCTTCATTATAACGAGCACCACCTTGTGGTTGATGACCTGAAATTGTACACGATGCCTAAGGAAAACATGTGGAACTATGGACCCAAGCTTGGTGTCAATTGGACATACCACTGTGGAGAAATGCTCCACTTCCTGTTTTGACCATAATCTACAGGAAGTGCTAATTTTAAAACATGCTTATTTTTTGAAATATCAAAATACTTTGAATTAGTTTTTTTGCCAGGACAGTTTCCAGATGCTACGTGACAAGTTTCATGCAAATCAGACAAAAGTGCATGGATGGAACACGCAAACGTAGTTTTCGGACATTTCGCACTCTAGCGGAAAAAAATGGCCTATATAGGGAGATTCAGCTCCATTCACCGAACGTGTGGATATGAGGTTTTTGAATGTGAGACAAACGATGCAGGAGTTATTAGCCTAAACCTTACTTTTCTTAATAGTAGCGCCACCTAGTGGCCGAGCCGAATGTGACGCATAGAATATCCAATTTTTCACCAGGCCTGACCACTTTGCCAAATAAAATACATCCAAAGTATATGTTCAGGGGGTCAAAAATGCAGTGAACCTTTCCCGCAAATAATAATAACTTTAGCAAATACAATAGAGATCTCACAGTGTTTGACACTGGACCGCTGGAAGGTCCCTATTGTAATTGGTCCGTTTCTTATTATTGTTATTCAGAATGTTGACGGCGTTTTTGACCCCCTGAACGTATACTTCATGTGAATTTTATTTGGCAGATTTGTCAGGCCTGGTGAAAATGATGAAATCCTATGGCCGCTTTGGGGTCGGCCACTAGGAAGGCCACTAGGTGGCGCTACTTTTAGGCAAAGTTCGATAGGCTAATAACTCCCGCATACTTTGTCTCACATTCAAAAACCTTATTCACCGAACACGTGGATATAAGGTGAATCTCCCTATATAGGCCATGCCCACTTCTGCCTAGATTTTTTTCCGCTAGAGCGCAAAATGTCCAAAAACTATGTTTTCATGATCCATCCATGCGCTTTTGTCCGATTCGCACGAAATTTTGCACGTAGCATCTGGAGAAAAAAAGTAATTTAAAGTATTTTGATATTTCAAAAATTAAGGAAGTTATAAAATTAGCACTTCCTGTTGATTTTTGTCAAAAAAGGAAGTGGGGTATTTCTCCACATTGGTATGGCCAATTGACACCAACCTTGGGTCAATAGTTCATCATGTCTTCATTAGGCATCGTGCACAATCTTGAACAATTTGAGGCCACCGCCACAAGGTGGCGCCCTTTCAAAGTCAAACGTTTATATCTCTGTGTCGGCAAGTGTGATTAAAACAAAACTTGGTAGGATGATTGCCCATGGCTCCCTGAAGGTCTCCTAAAAAGGAAAAAAAAATCACGCCACCAGGTGGCGCTCTGGTGGATGATAATTAGCTGTGCGGAGACCGTAATAGTTATGAATATGAAATTCACAGGACACGTGTAGACTGGTGCCTGTAGCTCACATACCAAAAATCGTGTTTGTCGTGGTTGTAGCGCCCCCTACAGGATTTGTAAAAAGCAGCTCCGGTGCCATGTTTCGCCGATATGTATGAAACTCGGTAGGCACGTGTAACGTGCCGAGACGTACGAAAAAAAGCCTCTTGGACCCATGTCCCAAATCCCACAGGAAGTCGGCTATTTTCATTTTAATTTTCACCATTTTGTTTGTCATTATGACTTTTTGGGCTTATATTTGAACAAACTCCTCCTAGGGAATTTCTGGGATCTGCTTCAAAATTGGTCAGTACAGTCAGAAAATGGGGCTGAATGAACGCTGTTCAATTTGAGACTGTACATTGAAGGGCGTGTCTGTGGTGTGCCGTCAAAGTTGGCCATTTTGAAGTCCGTGGTCTTGTATTTGAACTAACGAAGTCCTAGGGAATTTATCAGATCTGCTTCAAAACTTGACAGTACACTTGAATAATGTTGCTGATTAATAGTTGTGCGATTTGTGAATGTACGTTGAAGGGCGTGTCTGTGGCGTGCCGTCAAAGTTGGCCAGCTTGAATCGAATGTCAAGCTGTGATGCCATTCCCGGCATTTCAGGTCTGCTATTTAAACCAACTCCTCCTACAGATTTTATCATATTGACTTCATATTCGATCACTGCAATCTAGACACACTGGTGATAACAAGTTAATCAAATATTCACTGTGCGTCAAACGGTGTGTCCAGGGCGTGGCGCTGAATTTCCACCTTTTGCAGTGAAGAGTCTCTCTATGAAAGCGTAAGTCTTTTACAGTGTCTGAAACTTAGACTTAGACTTCTCTTTCTTGTTCCTTTTGGGATGACTCCCGCGGGGAAATTGAATTACCAGCAGCTTACAAAACACTTAAATAAAATAAAGAGATATAAAAAATACAGTATAAGATAAACAATAAACTCTTAGCTAAATATCGAAGGTAAAACAATAACAGTAAAACAATAAACTCTTAACTAACTATAGAAAGTAGACAATTAACAGTAAAACAATAAACTCTTAGCTACATATATACAGTAGAGATAAGAATAAAAGTAACTGGACTGTATATGGCATTGTATTATTGTACAGTGGATAAAAGACATTATAATTTGTCAAACAAAATAAGCCTATTAAGTATGTATGATTGTTAAAATTTTTAAAAATTACATATTGCAGACCATCCCTAAAAATATCAGGTAACCTTCTCTCTGATCAATATTGTCACAGGAATAAATCTTCTCAAAATTCATCCGAATCTCTTGTTGTGGGGCGCCCGGATAGCTCATCTGGTAGTGCTGGCGCCCCATGTACCAAGGCTGAGCCCTTGCTGCAGCGGCCCAATCCAACCTGCCTTTTGCTGCGTGTCATACCCTCTCTCTGCCCCCCCTTTCCTGTCTATCTTCAGCTGTCACTGTCAATTAAAGGCAATAAATCCCAGTTATTATTCCTGCAGTTATTGTGCTCACTGTTTGGGTTCATTGACAGTTTATCTGCTGTTCTCTACTGTTATTGTTATACATTAAATATAATATGATTATGAAATATCATAAAATCCGTCAGGGGTTGTGAGTTTACTTAATGATAGGAAACCAAAGAAAATAAGATAAATCCATGCTTGACAAAGTTTAAACAGATAATATCTACTGAAGCAAATATGTCTGTTGTGTTTGTGTCTCACTCCAGTCTCCAGATCCTCACCAAGGTCTCCGGCTCAGAGCTAATTTAACCAAACAGCACCCTCTGCTGGTCAGAAACCATTTCTTTACCAAACATTTGTAGAGCCGAGACTCAGAATCAGGTTTATTGCCAAGTAGGTTTTCACAACCAGTGAATATACCTTGGTATGTTGGTGCATAACAATTAAAAAAATAATAAAGATAAAAATAGAGATGGTAAAATGAGACAATATATACAAATATGAAAAGAGAGACAGTAACAACCAATCAGAGCCGAGAAAGATAGTTTTGTTGATTGTTGATTCCCAGGGCGTCAAATAGTGACCATTTGGGACCCTGGGAATGTGACTCAACCATCAACTATTAACCAAGCTTCCAACCCAGAGCGTCTTTATATCTTTCTCTGCTCTGATTGGTTTCTTTGTGTTTTAAGTGTTTAAATGTTTTAAGTGTAATTTTCTCCTTCATTTATTTACTTTTATTTTCCCTCTTTTATTTTCCCTTTTTACTTACCGTCCTATTACTTTTTTATTCCGGTCTGTTATCTGAAAAAGAAAGGCCTTACTGAGCCATTTCTGCGGGTACCTCCAGTGCTGTAGGTGGCGGTAGTGCAGCTTGCTTGGTAGTCGCCTTAAAAGAAGACCAGATCCGCGCACCATGTTTGAACCTTTGAGCTTACCGTCGCCGCCAGAAAGTCACATTGTTTTCCTAATTTCCAGAAACGCCAACAATAGAAGCCTGTTTCACACATTTGGCACACTGAGTTAATTTGTATCCCTTACAGAATTGAAAGCAACATTTGAGCTTTGTCTTAACATGGCGCTACCTATAGCCAGTTAGGCTTACGTTCCTTACGTTGTGGAAGCAGTAAAAAGGTAGCTAACAGTTAGTGGGAAACCTACTGGCACCTAGTAGCGTTTTCATTTCACTATTATTAGTCTGAAGCTTTTCCTCCAAAATGATGAACTATTCTGACTACGACTCTGACGGATATTCGTCGAATGAAGATGCAGACTACGTCCCATCAGGTGAGGACTGGAAACCGCTTCTGCTGTCAGTCAAGCGGAAGCTAACATTAACTAACGTTAGCTCACCCTCATGCTACGCACTACACATAATAAACTAGCTATAGTGTAAAATATACTTTATGGTAACGTCCTGGTCTAGTTGGTGTTGAGAGACTGCGTTAAAAAATGTAGTTCAATGAAGAAAGACATTGTATTGATTTCTAATGCCACCTTTATATATTTCTAGTCAGTGCTGTACTGTGCCACAATAATGTTTGTAGTTCAGATGTCTGAACTTGGCGGCTTTTCCAAGCAAATATTGATATAACGTTATGTGATTGTTTGTGATTAAGTCAGCAGATATTATTTCTGGCACACTCTGGACACCCCGTTAATATTTCTCTAGATCTGCCCCATATCACTTAACTTGAAGGCAGTCTAATAATTACATATAGGCACTGGCAGTGTATGATTGTTTGTTATTGTATATACACTGATAAACAGCTCTGACTTAAATTCTAATTCAAAATGTACTTTCTTTTTTAATGTCAAATGTGTAAATTAAATCGTATGTTTAATTTTGATGTCATAGTAACAGGTGGTGCTGTACTGGACTACATTGTATTGAGAGATGTTTATACATTTTTGTCTCCCTATTCACATACATGATGGGGACAGAACATTAGTAACACCTCTGAATATAACGCAGTCCAGTTAAGGATGGCAATTGAGAACTGTTTCCAAATCGTCCAATCCACTGGAATCACATGCCTCAGAGCTCCCAGCATGTTTTTTGTACAGTTGTGCATTGCAAAACAATTATATCAAACTTTGTGTATAGTATATAGTGTGTCCACGTTGAAAACCTGTGTAGGCCTACTTTTTTTCACACAGAAAATTGTTCAGGAATCAATAAGTGAATCGACAAAGAACTGGGCCAATAAGCAGATTCGATTAATGATATTGGTATCAATAAACCGTATAAATTTCCCACTAAAGTCCACTATATCACATCACTGTGACCTCAGTGCTCAAACACAATATTCACCAGAGCCTGACCGATATTATCTGCTCATATTGGCCTATCACAGGCGTGTCAGTTTCGTATTGATATGGAAAAAAAGGAAATTTTATCACTATATAATGCAGACATTTTTTTTATATTTGTGTCACTGCAGAGTCGCAATTAATGATACTGTGGCAAGCAGCAGAGAGTATAGTATAAGAAGCAGCTCTCAGACGTGTCAACTAGAAATGACTGACAAGATTATATGGACTTGATCCCACACTGGGGAAATGTACTCGCTACAGCAGCTCCAGATACAACAGATAAGAAAATACACTTTACGTAATGGAATAGAGAAATACAGGATATAATGAAAATAGAATAATATATATACAGTACAGGTTTTAAAACTAATAATGTGCGTGTAAGAAATTCTAAGTTTTTATATGTACGTAAAACTGCATAGTACAGGTATTAAAAATGGATAATAGATATTTTCCTCTTATGATGTAGTATATCGGGTTAGGGTTAGGGTTAGGTGAAGTAGATATCTACTCGGAGTCTCTCCCTATGTTGACCAACGACAACATAGTTTTTGTGGGAGACAGAGGCAAGGCACTGGCCAGCGCAGGTCAGTCCCCAGACCACCACCCACCTGCTATCATGAGCCATATTAGAGGAGAAAAGAAGAAGGAAGATGAGAAGAGGAGAGGGGAAATGGGAGAGGTAGCTATCCAAAATATCCAGTTGTCATGGCAGACCAAACCCAATTTGTACTACAGAGTTTAAGGTATTTGATATTTGTGGTTTTTACTAAGATATTTAGGTTTAAGCATTAACGGGGGTGAGGTTAGGTTTAGAAAAAATAAACTGGTGAGGTCATAATTTGTACTACCTGTATGGTACATTTTTGCAAAATCTCAAGGAATCAAACTGATGTTGAAAGTAAATATACTTCTTTTTTTACTTATTTATAGAACAATAATGATTAGATCATAACATCATAATATGATTCTGCTCAAATTCATTAAACCATAATATTGAATTATCTGTTAATCAGTTGATCTCTCTGTATTCACGTCCTCCTCAGATGATAACCTCAGTGAGGATGACATCAATGAGTGTGAAAAGGAAGACCCTCTGCACGGGGATGAAGATGTGCCACATCCTGGCGATGTCTGCAAGAAGAAAAGGAAGAAGTTGGACATCGGTATGAGGTGAGAGGACTTCAAACAATCATGTTTCTAGGACAGAGAACCAAATGAAGCAAAATCTGGATTTCCAGTGTTCTCTGAGGCTGTGGAGAGTTTGTGTTTTTAATGCTTGTAAACTATTCAAATACAGCTACAGTTCACATTTTAATACAAGGTACAAATGGGGTCTAGGGCTTTTCCTAATAAAAGAGGATGATGCCAATGATGCTGACCTTTATTCACGGTATCTTTGAAAACATCTACAGAAAGAGGAAGAAAGGAGTCCTGAAAGTAGAACAGGAAGAGAAGTCTGGAGGTGGAGCAGAAGAGGCACAGCTGCTGCAGGAAGTGGTGGAAGAACCCCCCAAGGTAGAGAAGGAGGATGATGCAAAACAGAAGAAAAAATCAGATGACCTCTGGGCGAGTTTCCTGTCTGATGTTGGATCCAGACCTAAGGACTGCCCACCTGCCTCACAGTCCAGTAACACAAAAAAGGTAAATATATTCTAAACCCAAATATAAAACTATGATAGTACTACTACTAAACCCAACAGTTAAATGATGCTTTTTCCTGTAAAGTACCGTCACATGATCTGAACCAATCACTGTTTGTTTACAGACAGAGAGTGAATCACACCAGAATCCTTCTTGCCAGGCTTCAGTCTATGCTTTTGTGGCCGGTACAGAGGTACCTCTCATAGGGAATCATGAGAAAGTTTCAGAGCACCCCCGTAACCATAGTAACTCAATCACTCCTGCCTGCCTTCCTGCACACGGCGCAAGAGGAGTGGGACAGACACTGACGTTTTTCGTGCTGTTTTCATTTGTAAATGTGTTCCTCACTGCGAGATAAAGTGGGCGTGAGACACTGAAAAGTGTGTCTCACGTAGCGTGGCGCCCTACTTATCCCACTAGCTAATTAATTACCTGAAGATGATGATGAAGTTTTGTTAAACCATGGCACTTGCACAGCTGCTGTGGGGGACTATGGTGTTTGACCAAGTATCTCCTCAGGTTAGACGTGTTGTCAGCTTTGCATTTTGCATTACACAGTCTGCATGCCCTGACTCACTGTGATTTGAACAAGATGCAGGGCGATTTAATGTTAATCTCGCTCTCTCTCCTTCTCGTTATACTCTACTCCAGTGCTTCCCAACTTGGGGGTCGCCAAAGCTTCACAGGGGGTCACGAGGCTTTCTTGATTCTAAGGCGTGCTAGAAAACTAGAAAAATATACGCAGTAGCCCTGTATTTCAGCATCTGGTTCACATCTGTAAAGAAAAGTAAATGTAAAATAAATTGTATGTTGTATAAAAGTATGTTTTCTGATAGGACAATGGGCAAGCATTAGGGACAATAAAGCACAGAATTTGTCAAAGAAGAAGCCTATTAAATATGTATGATTGTTGAATGATCACGTATGAAGAAAAAACACAATACAGACAGAATTGTACCCAACCCTAGTAACAACTACACTGTAATCAGACAAAGTCAGGTGTTGTGACAAATAGCTGCAGGCTGCTCTGGCGGTGTTTATTTGGGCTGGGCTATTTTCGAGCATTGATAGCACGCCAGACACAGACAGCGAAGTAAGAACACAAAATAAACCGAGACAAGGACACAAGTGGGAGAGTATTGTTGTTTGGCTGGGCGTCCGACCAACAATGAGATGTCTCTGTTGGTTAATAAGCACAGCAGAAACATCAGATAGGTTAGACCACCGCGTTTAACTATGTATCTTAAGAGGTGGGAAGTAACAAATACAAATACTTTGTTACTGTACTTAAGTAGTAACAAAGTAGTAGTTTTCCAGGTAACTGGAATTTATTGAGTATTTACTTTTCTGACAATGTTTACTTTTACCCCCTACATTATTACACATCTGTATGTTCTACTCCTTACATTTTACACATTTCTTACCTTTTAATCTACTTTTAGGAGAGACTTTTTTTCCACAAGTATGTGTACTTCTATTGAGTAAAAAATTTGTGTACTTTTGCCACCTCTGTATATTAAAATGACAACAGGGATGAACAAACTTGCAGATTTCACATATCTCTGCCATTCAAATCAACTGTCAGTTGTCTACCTGGAAGTGACTGTTAATTAATGGCTGCTAATTTGGTCTGTAGAGGGTGTAATGTTTGTTGGACCGATGTTCATCTGGCCCCTGACTTGGGATACAAATTACAATACATCAAGTGAATATTAGTCCAGATCACTGGAGCATTAATAATCAAACCTACAGTATTTTCTGTATGTGTCTGTCTCTGTCTCTGCCTTCAACTGATTCTTTTGTTTTTATCCTCAGGGTGATTCCTCAGTTTTGAAGGATGCTCCTTTGAGTACAGAAACAAAAGCGTCAGAGCCTGCTAAAGTCACCATCACTAAAGTTTTTGACTTCGCTGGAGAAGAAGTTAGGTATGCCTCTGAATCATTCTCACATTTTGAGACTATTTGACTTCCTATAAAAAGATTTTTTTGGAAGAAAGAAACACAATGGACACGGTTTAAATATTTTATTTTTTACAAAAAAAAAAGCCAGCGCTTTCAAGGCCGCAGTTTAGTTCAACTGCATTGAAATATAGCGTCACCTCACAGTGTACAAGAACGTGTATTCATGATTTTCTGTTAATATCTTTTATCATTCCACTTCAAATACTGAATTCAAATATAAATGATGCTGATGATCTCAATTGACCAATAGGTGGTGCCACACACACACAAATGCAGTCTGGGTGAGTTAACCTGAAATACACTAGGGTGGCCATGTACGGAGTTAGATTTGTGTCTTTATTACATTTATTATTATTATTATTATTATTATTATTATTATTAGCATGCTAATCGCTAGTAAAGCTAATCGCTAATTAGCCATCATGCTAGGTAAACTTGCAAACTCACCTGGTTTATACTATTTTTAAATCAAATGCCAAATGAATATGTTGAGATGTGTTTTGTATGATATGTTTAGATAGTTTCACTCCTTATTTAGTGAGTAGTGAGCTAGTTTCTACCCTAATTAGCGATTAGCATGCTAATAATATAATACACATTCATGAATATGAGTGCTATTCTTTGTCCATGACAATCTGACAAACACATCAGTAATGGCAAACTAGCTTCCATTTAGGATAGCCTATTTAATGTTTAATCTTCAGTGATGTTAGCTGAGCTGAACTCCACATTACTAACCAGTTAAACATCCTTTAATACCTCTGATCTGTTACTCTGTAACCAGTTAAACATCCTTTAATACCTCTGATCTGTTACTCTCTAACCAGTTAAACACCCTTTAATACCTCGACTTTCTTACCTGTAAACCTTTAATACCTCTGATCTGTTACTGTCTAACCTGTTAGGGCTACACAGTCATTCCTATGATGGGAATGATTTTGATTACCAACTTGTTCAGCTAGCTACCCATCGAGTTGTGTGTGTCGTCTTACCCAAACATTGGAGTCTCCGCACTCAACTAAGGCAGCGTATCTATGCCGGTGAATCGACAATGGTGTAATGATTCAGTTCGACTACCAAGAAGATTAATGTGTAAAAACACATTTTTTTTTTTAGAGAAAATGTTTTCACACTGATAGCAAAAATTGAAATATTTGAGAGTTAAAAAAAGCATTTTGAGAGTTTTTATTCTCAGAAATCATTTTAAAAATTTCAAATTTTTATTTTTTTATGTTCTATGAGAAAATACTTTCAAAACTTTTTTTAGTCTCAAATATTATTATTTTTTGCTATTGGTATGAAAACTTTTTCTCTCAAATATTTTTTTTCCTCTCATAAAATGCTTTTTTGCTATCAACGTGATAACTTTTTCTATTTTTTTTTCTCTCAGATCATTTATTTTCTCGGATGTAATAAAGACACAAATCTAACTCCATAGCTGTGCTCTGTTGCTGGGCTTTTGTCATATATGAGTTTATTCGGCTCTGTTACAGCGTGATGTCTCACAAATGATCATTGTGTGTGTTTGTACAGCCTGATCAGCCTATCAAAGTTAATGAATATGGATGATCATAACTGCCCCCGAATCATTAGGTGGATATCGTAAGCATCAGACAGGGCAACAAAAAGAAAGTTCATGATTTCTTTCCAAAATGAGTATGTTTACATGCACACTAACGTTTCAGTGCTGAGTCTTACTATGATTATCATGATATTTGTGATGCACCATTTTACTGGAACATGGAGCCAGTTTCTGCATACATGATTTTTAGGGGTGTGCATCTCTCCCATCTTAGACAGTCCGATGCGTATGTAGATACATGAGCTACGATACGATTCAGGGACGATGCATTTTAATATGGAACAATTCTGTGGGATTTCATGTAATATGATACAGTTCTTAACATTTGTTTAATGTAGACATTTATTTTCCATTCTGGATTGAAATAAGCCAATTCTATTAAAGAGACATTGCTTACCTTCAAATACATATATTTTGTAAAGTATCCAGGGAATCTCAATTATATTTTTTTTATTTATGGCATGAGACAAATGGAAGGCAGATATATAATTTCAGAATTTCATGTCATTGTGTTTATTGTTTATTTGCTTTTGCGTGTTCTTTCTTGTGTTGCTGTATAAACCCCAAATTCCACCAGACACAGCCACAGCACCTTCAGGCTCCACCACGGTTGCTGGAGCTAATGGTACCCGTTCTAGGCAAATTCCACCAGAAGCACTGCACGTCTCTCTACTCTGCTCCATGTAGAATAAGCGGCTGGTCTATTAGTGATGGAAGCTGCGAACCACTCCAGTATAGCAGGATATGCATAAAATACACCAGTAAACAACATATGGCAGGCAACACGCTCCGCTTCTGAAATGCTCTCTTGGGAGGCAGATCATAGAGCCAAACCATAACGCCATGCCCGTTGGAATTTCAGGGTTAGCATCCACAGACTCCTCGACGCCTGCATAGGTATCACTATGCTGTCTCAGAAGTGTGTTAAGATTTGTCATGCTACCGCTGTTAGAGGTGGGCAATATATATATCGTTTGCGATAATATCGTCATTGTTGTTTTGACGATGTGCAAATTTCCATTATCGAGTATTTAAATTATTTCGCCAAAAATATTGAAATGCACGCGGAAACTCCTCACATCCACTTAATACACGGTACAGCAGCGCTCTCTACAGCATGGCAGGATTCAGTCACACGACTAGTGGGCCTGCGTGATCACATGGCGTGATCACATGACCTCTCGCTAGCATCCCCCTTGCAACAGTTTAGCAGCACGTTGTGATGGTATAGAGAAAATGCAAACACCTCCAGTCCCTGAAGCTACCGGTACTTCAGATGATTTAGTGCCGAGACCTGGGTCTACCTCTCTGGCATGGAAATGGTTTGGTTTCAAAAAGACGAGCTCTTCAAGTTGAAATCTGTTCAACTTTTAACACCGCTGGGCGCTCAGAAAAAGAGTTTTTGAGCGCTCTCGGCGCTAAAAACGCGTTTGGTGGACACAAGCCCTAACTCAGACAATTCTAATCACATTTTAAAGGATATCGACTGATTATCTATCCCATAAATAAACGAGATATTATTTTTTGCCCATATCGCCCACCCCTAACCGCTGTACTTAACTGCTGTCTGACAGAGCTTACAGGTGGACAGACTTTTGTTCAACTTACCTTCCTCCTTACAGAATCCAAATGTCTTCCAAACTTTAGATTTTACATTTGATAGTTCACTGTAAATCGTGTTGTTGGGCCACGCTGTGCTAATGTTGCTCTAAATCTTACGCACCTAATGATTCTATGGACTATACTAATAATATATTAATTATAAAAAACAGAAACAGCTTGGTTGCAGGACATTTCTTTCTTAATGCAATGCTGAGCCAATAACCTTTTTATTATTAAGAAAAATACAAGTGTTGGATCAGGACTCTGTATCAGCAGAATGGTAATGGTACTAAATTTACTACTAAAATTCTTGTATTGTGACATCCCTATGAGTGGCTCAATAATAAAACTGGTGATCAGTGGAAGTTCTCTCTGGTGCGTCACTGGACAGATTTAGCAGTACATTATGTAGATCCTTGTGTCTTTAGTTTGTCAACATCTCAATCACTCTTTGTCATTTTTATAGTGACCAGCTTACCTCAGCATGGTGAACCCTGTTTACTTATTATCACAGCAGCCTGTAGTCCCACCACCAGGTCAAAATGTGTCCTCGTCTTCATACATTTTGCTAAGCTAAGCTTGTTGTTTTGCACATACAGGTCAGCGAGGACAGTGACCTGTCCACACTGGAATCTGATATGGGCCACACTTTACAGCCTATATAACTATAAAAATTAGTCTTCAGCTTTACATTACTGAAGACTGGAAAGTGTGTTTAAAATCAGCCTCTGCAGCACGTTTGAACCTGCAGGACAGACCTTTACAATTGATCTGACAATGTAAGCAGTAATCCCATGCCTTAATTATATATAGCTGACAATGTGAGCAGTTTAATGAGCCCCTGGGACAGACTCGTGTTTGCATTCATATCTCGATTAATTATTACAGCTTGTGACATTTCTTCAATAGGAGCCACACAAACAGCTGAGCATTTCCCATAAAAACAGTATAATTATCACTGTGTAAGATGCACATACTGTATATCACACAGACAGCCACACCCGAGCAGCTAGAAAGGATGCTAGTTATGTTCAGCAAGTAATGTCCCACCCTAAATGTTTACATCTGAGTGGGCTTCATCAGAAACCAAATATGATCCTGTGTATAATTCATCTGATTGATTATGCATGAAGCTGTGTGCTCTGTAATTACAGAAGCATAAGATTAGTACATGGATGATGGTTGTAACCTGTCCCCAGAGCCACAATAAATACTGCTGGCTCTAATGTGTGATGTGAGCATAGTTGACAGTTTTAGCATTTATTTTTCAGTGAAGTTGGCTAGTACAATATGTTTATATGGTATCCAGACCTCCATCACCTCCGCCTGCTGTTGCACCTGTGTCTTTTCAGTTTATTCTCCTCGGGAACTGATATTTCTCCCTCTTGCCTGAGACAAGACTCGCCATTTCAAAATGCTCTTCCTTATCATCAATGGAGCTGTGCGCTCTGTGTAATTATGGCTGCATATAATTAGCATACATAACAGGGAAAGGCTTTCAGTGTGGCCATGATGGATGCAAGTGGTTGTGGAGTCTGTGCTGTGCTGATGTTCCCAGAGGATGCAGTGGTTGTTCCTCATATAGCCTCCCCATCTAACCCTGCAGTGAGACACAGACAGATGTGTGTCTCTTACTGCATGTGTGTGTCCTTTTTTATATAGCATGTGTGTAAAGGGGAGAGGCTGGCCTACATCCTGTTTTATTATTTACCTTTTAACACAAAGGTTTAGATGCAGAATGTTTGGAATCCCATTTCCACCAATGTGATGGAAAATAAAGGATTCTGTGAGTCTTTTTAGTGAGAAACTTTCTCAAAATAACAACTTAGTAACTCAAAATAATGAGAAACTTTCTCTCTCTTTTTTTTCTGTCACATTGGCAGAAATGGGTTTCCTGGGCTCTGCAACTGTATATTAGATATGTGTTGATTGATCTTGGTGTTTTATCAGGGCTTCTGGATAAAAAGGATGTTATCTTTGTTTATTTGTATTTATTTATTTATTTGCATATTAATCAACATTTAAATGTAAATGTGCTGGGTTGTTAGACTGTTACATTTTTACTGTGTGTAAACACACACACTAAAAATACACAAATACCTAAAAGTGGTGCATGTAGGTTACCCAAACGCCTGTCTAAACAGGTATATCCTCAGCAGCTTTTTGAAGGAATCTAGACCATAAGGGTGCAGGCAGAGTGTTCCACAGTCTATGTGGTACTACCCCAAAAGCTCAATCACTACAGGTCTCAAGGCTGATTGCCTGCAGACGAGTGATAAGAAAAAGTAGTCAATGAAATAAGTACAACAGCTGAGACTGCAGATGAAAGAGCCCCAATACTTTCCATGATCATAGGCGCAACATTTTCTGGAGCAATAACATGAACTTCAGTTTTATCAGTGTTGAGCTGATGAGTATATATATGTATGGGGAAAGGCTGCAGCCTTGTCATTGTACGTCAGTAAGTGGTGAGAAAGCTACATTTCAGCCCTGTACTATCACTCTGCATCCTGCTGTGAACCAGAAACTCCTCAGTCACCATCGTCTTTTCTAAATGTGAACACATTTCTTCTAAATGACAGAAAATCTGATCTAAAACCATTACTGGCTAGCATTATGCAGGGACTATGTCGTCAAAAAAAAAAAAAAGTAGGCAGAGTGATATTAGCGATTCATTCCAAACCACGTTGTGTTTACACGTGGTTGTCTTATAGCTATATGTTTGATGATTGCATGTGATTTTCTCTCGCATTGTACACAGCCAAATGGACAGAAAAACGCAACCAAAAATTGCGGGCTTCTTCGTACAACGAAGCAGGCCTACCTCACCATCTACACCCAGCCCCCCCCCGTTTATTTTTATCAGCATTATATATGGACCATCGACCATTTAAAAACCCCATATCACACAACCACTGCTGTATACTAGTAATTCCTATGCATGTGCTGTTATTGTGCTGGCACACTGTATGTCTGTCTGTCTCCCTCTGTCAGGGTGAATAAAGAGGTATCCGCAGACTCCAGAGAAGCTAAGACTTATCTGAAGAGCCAAAACACCAAACAGGAGGAGAATGAAGACGAAGAGAAGAGTTTATCACCCAACCAATCACCTCTTCCTGGCCCAAGGTACACACACACACACACACACTCTCTCTCACTCACACACACACACACACATACACACACACACACCTTTATACATAACACTCACCCCTCATACCAGCATATACAAATTAGGATTTGAATGATATGTCTTAGACAGGTGTTGTAAAAGGCTGCCACAGAGGAGATCTAGGGCTGGCCTGTGTAGTCACGTGGATCTTTCATATTGTCTTGTTGAGTAGACTAAATGAAGTTACATTCTATTCATCTGTTTAGTTACTATTTAGTTTAGGGATGCACCAATCCACATTTTTTCACTTCCGATACCTGAATTTGGATATCGGCCGATACCGATACTATTACGATACCAGAGCTGTGTTTGCTTTAATATTATTATTTATATCATTATTGTTGATTTTATATGAGGCTGAAATAAACTCCGCTCAACAGGCAAGTATGATATGTACGTATGTATGCATGTATCTCCCAAAAGGCAACTTGAGGTAAGTATAAGGTCAGAAAAGGAAGTCGGAAAAACAGGAAATCCTGTTAACAGGAAAAATCCCATTCTGAAAACAAATATGCAACTGTAAGGGTTTCAAATTGATTGTCATGTCAATATTTATTAAATTCCCAAAATGTCAAATATTTGAAATATAAGAAAAGTGCAATAAGTGTAAACATCTCTCACCACACACACACACACACACACACACACACACACACACACACACACACACACTAATCCTTTTAGCTTTCACGTTGTCTGCCTGGAGTTTACCTTGTTTTTGGAATGACTCCAGAAGTGATTCCTGACAGCTCCTTTTGTCTTTCTGCCCCTGCTCTTCTTCTTCTTCTTCTTCATATGGATTTCCGGCAGTTTAGACACTTCTAGGCGTATTACTGCCCTCCTCAGGAAGTCACTCTAAGGATAATGTTACTGCTTCATATTTTCATATATAGCCCTGTATCGTGTAAGAACTGTAATACTACTTTAACAATCAAGTGGTGGTTCTCATTTTGACCCAATAATCCTCGTGCTCTTTCGCGTGGTGCTTTTTTAAATGTTTGATTGCGTTTGTAGTGTTGTACGACGCGAGAGAGCTTCCGCCTCTCTGAATCACGGCTTTGCTAGCTGGCTGCAAACTGCAGAATGGATTTCCTGAGCGGGGGCGTGTCTCATAACTCTGTGTCTCATTGAGCCGTGCCTCCGTTCAGGAAATCCATTCCACAGTTTGCAGCCAGCTAGCAGACTGGCCGGCAGGAATCACCTGGGGAGTCAGCAGACAACGTTAAAGCGCAGACATGGCTCATGGATATCAGAAATCTGCGCAGGTTGGATCGGGAAAATCTGATACGTGAATTACGCTGGTATCGATACCGATACTGGATCGGATCGGCCCCATCCCTAATTTAGTTATTTAGTACAATTAATCCAAATACTTTCTAAATGGCTAGATGCAAATCGCAGAAGAAGGTAAAATGTGTGACAAACAGCATTATAATGAAGTTCTACAGAGATTCACTTGTCTACAAATCATCAATTTAATTAATATTTTTTTAAGTGAAAATTAAATTTGTGTTGCAAAAATTATTATTCCCATACTGTCAATCAGTATATACAATATCCTTCAAAATAATTGCAATAGGATGTTTTTACTGTATCGCACAGACTTCTATTTAGTGTGTGTGTGTGTGTGAGTGAGTGAGTGATGGCATTTTACAGTTGAAATTAAGTTTGTACTTGAGCTCACAGTCGTACATCAGTGCAGTGGAATTTCCCTTTATATTTGCTGTGTGAGTGTGTGTGTGCCCGTGCGCTTTTTCCTACCTCTTTTAATACCCTTTGTTGCCATGGTAATAAATCACTTGGGGACGTGCACATCTTCCCTCCAAAACCCCAGACAGGAAACAGGAAATCATCTTCCAACGGACAGGAAGTACAGCGTGTCCACAAGCTATTTCCTATTTATCTTAGGTGTGTGTGTGTGTGTGTGTGTGTGTGTGTGTGTGTGTGTGTGTGTGTGTGTGTGTGTGTGTGTGTGTGTGTGTGTGTGTGTACCCAGCACAACAGGAAAGAGCCATCAGCACCACTCCCTAATTAATTGTGGGACTGACCCACGGATACAGCTTCAGAAGTTACTGTGCGTTTGTTGCAGATTTAGATGTTATGTAATGTGACAGTAGCAGTGGTGTGTTTACTACACTACAGAGTAGTCCAACAGCAGCTTTTGATTTTCGACGTTCTGTTGTAGTGGTTGTCGTTTGTTGATGTTAGTGTCTCCATTTATAAGCTAACAGTAGATAGTGTTGCACACTGTTGGCACTGTAGGGCAGCGGAGTACTCAGGAGGAGCACACATAAATGTCACCTGCATCCCTACATAGAGACACGTATAAATCAGCCCACAGGCAATTGAACAACAGGCCTGAACAATATGAGGAAAATGTTCGATAGCACTGTTCAGTATTGGATGACAATATGCTTTACAATAAATTAACACAAACATAACTAAATGTAACAGTAACAGTAGCTAATGTCAGCAAAGTCACTGTATAGACGCAATAATATCTCACAAATTTAAAATTGCAATAAGATAAATAATATTTGTGACATCAAAATATTGAGTGAAGTTTATATAGAATAAAGAACACAGATATCAGTGAGTATCAGTACTTCATCCTGTCCTCTGTCCTCTTCTGGTGTGACTCACTGCCTGCAGGTAACACTGATGGAGACAGGGGGGTCTGATTTGTCTCTCAGCACCTCAGTTTAAATGACTTTCACTAATTTGGCAACCGCAGTATTTTTTTATGCATGAGTACATATGTTCTGAAGCACAGTATAAAAATCTTAAATGAGATATTTGAAAAAGAACACTGATCAAAATTAGAGAACACTTTCAGATACCTCCCAGTTATTGGTGTTAATCTGGCACCTGGTGCTAATTTCCTCAATTATCTGACAAACCCTTTTAACTTGCAGCCTAACTTTCCAGTTTTCACTGACTTTTCAAGATGGTGAGCCGTTCTAAAGTGACTGAAACCCTCTGGCAGCAGGTTGTCCAGATGAAGGCCAAAGGGATGACCCTATCAGCCATAGCAAGAGAAGTTGGTCGTTCCAAATCAGTGATTTCTAGAATATTGCATCTTTACAATGTCATAAAATCATTCAAGTCCCCCAAGAAGGCTGGTCATCCACGAAAGACAAATGCAAGAGAGGACAGGATAATTCGGAGAATCTCAGTGGGCAATCGGTTCATCGCTGCAGCTGGAATTGCTCGCCAGTTCAATGCTGAACAGGGTGAGGATCTGTCTTGTCATACAGCATTTGGACTGAAAGTCCACTCTGCAGAGACCAAACCTCTCATTGGCAGAAAGAATCAAAAGGCTAGACTAACCTTTGCTGAGGAGCATGTTGTGTGGAAAGAGGACAACTGGGCCAAAGTTCACTTTAGTGATAAAAGCAAGTTTAATTTATTTGGGTCCGATCGTCAAACTGGGGAAAGACTGAACCCAAAGTGTGTAAAGAAGTCAGTGAAAGGTGGATGAAGAAGTGTCATGGTTTGGAGAATCTATCTATCAGAACCTTCTTCGACAACATGTGGTTCCTTCCCTGCGTTCATCACGCAATCAGCCAGCAGTTTTCATGCAGGACAATGCCCCCCGTCACACAGCAAAACAGCTAAAGCACTTACTTGAATCTGAAAACTCTGAAATAATGAAATGGCCAGCCCAGAGTCCTGATCTAAACCCAATAGAAAACTTCTGGAAAATTCCACTACAGTCACGAACTATGGGAGAGAAAGAAGAGAAGAACAGTGGACCAGAATCACACCAGAGCAGTGTGAGAGACTAGTGATGTCCTGTGACCGCAGATGTGCTGAAGTCATTCAAAGCAACGGCCTGTACACTTCCTACTAATTGTTGACTGATGTAACCTTTAGAAAATGTTGTTGCGTGCTACAGTCATTGCTGTTCTCTAATTTTGATCATTGTGTTTTCTGCAAAATAAAGTTTTTTGTTGAAGTGCCTTGGTTATTTTGAGTTCTAGTAGCATGGTATAGCCACATCAAAAACTCCTTCAAATGTTGAGCAATGAAGATTACATTATTTCTGAAAAAATCAAGTGTTCCTAAATTGTTCAATTTTGATCTCCAGTGTATCCTTTTTTTTTGCGCTTTTCTCCCTGACACTTGGCCATTGTTCTATTAGCTGCATGGTTGTTTTAACCGTGTACTTTTCTAAGGTAGGACAAAGCAGTTTGTCAGAGTGAAGGCTGCGATGTAGGCCTACTATATATTTTCTTAAAATCCAGAAGGTCTGTCAAGCTGTAGCGACCCCATATAGTGTTCCATAATGGGCAAATCTGCACACTATTCACTTTAACTGCAGATCACGTAGGTTGCAAAATCCAGAATTCCAGATTAATCCAGAAAAATCACATCCCTGGTTGCTTGTTTCTTACATACCTGCTGTTTATGTTTCTACAGTGATGTTTGTGGTTGGCTGTTATTTTTTGTTTAGTCATAGCACACATTCACGCGCACTATGCCGGGTTCATGGGCAATAAATTCAGTTCATTTTGCCACAGGAAAGTGAAAAATATTTTATATATATATATATACATTTTTTATTATCTGCCCTGTGAGTCGCATTCACTTCGCAATTTAATGGGTTCTTCCTTGGCCCCATGCTACACCCTTCCATCCAGTTTCATAAAAATCTACTCAGTAGTTTTTCCCTAATCCTTCTGACGGCAAACAAACCCACAACCAAGACTGAAAGACCTCCATGGCAGAAGTAAATTAGATAGCGGGAAAAAATATTATTCTGAGCAGCAAAAATAGTCAATAATGAAGCTAAATTCAATTTCTGAATTTTCAATGTTTAGATGAGGTTAAGGATAGGGTTGGGGTCAGACATGTAGTTATGGTGGTTATGGGAAGGGAAGGCATAATTAAGCTTAGAAAGACGAACAGGACATTACATTGTCATAGCACTCTCTCTGTAGACTTTTGGATCTAGCAGAGTTACTGGCTGCCTGCTTGTCCTGAGTGTTGGATGACATGACTTTTAACAAACATGATACTCATTGTTTTGGGTTAAACAAAGTAATAACAAAGACAGTAATGCTGTATATTTACAATTCCAAAGTCCCTCTTAGTTACTGTTGCTAGATTAGACAAGCTTGACAAAAAAAAAACCATTGCGACAGCGGTTCTGTTTCGCTGGGTGCCGCAATCCATCTCAACAACATGTTAAAATGATAAAACATATATTAAGCCCTATTCGCACGGGACTAGTATTACCTGGGGATCTCATGTGATTTAGTAATTAACCCGCCACGTCTGTGTGTCGTGCGGCGCATTCGGGACTTCACACGGGATAGGCGAATTTACCGACATTATCCCCCGGATATGATGTCAAGGCTCTGCGTAACCGATGCGTAACCTAAGGAGCAGCACAACGGTTAGATATGGATATTTTTAATATAATAATAACTGGTGAGCCTGTTGAAAGATAGAAAAATGTTCCTTACCGCATGCTGCCATGCATGTAATCTATCTAATCATCTTTCGAGATTTTGCTCTTCTGATGGATTTGAGCTTGCTCTTTCTGCGAATGGGTCTCTATGCTGTGAACCTAGATGAGCCTCCTGAAATGCACCCAAAATGCTGTCAAAACTTTAATTTATTAGTGCCAATGCAGCCTCCATAATTCTCGACCGGGAAAAAGGCAGAAAAAAAGGCGTGGAAAACACAAAAAACAACCCCAAATCACAGACATGCCGATTCGCACAGGACTAATATTATCACATGACCTCTGTGTTTGGCAAAATATGGTAGGTAATTTGCGGTGGAATTTTTACTTTTACAAATTATGGACATGGCAGATTCGCACGGGATTAAGATCGCAGACAACCTCCGCAATTATTACAAATTACTAGATGCCCCCAGGTAATACTAGTCCCGTGCGAATAGGGCTTTAGATTGTATTGTGCAGGGAATAATAAATTACATACGTGACTGTTATCTTTTAACTTTCAGCGTTATTGTGTTTGCAGTGCCAAGCGCCCTGCAGGCATGACGAGCATCCTGGGTCGCATCGGGGGAAAGAGGCAGAAGATGAGCACGCTGGAAAAGTCAAAGATGGACTGGGACGCTTTCAAATCAGAGGAGGGCATCACAGACGAGCTGGCCATCCACAACAGAGGCAGAGAGGGGTAAGAGAGTCAGTGTGGTGGTGGTGCAGGTCAATGACAACCGTATTTCTTACTAAAAAAGGTTGTTAGGGTGAGAACTCTACAACATCATTGGGACTTATACTGAATCCCAAAACACTTGTTGCATTTTAGGTGGAAGCAGGAATACAGCAACTAGACATCAGTCTATCATTTAGCACTGTTGAATTCTAATGTCAATACAGTTCTCACAATCAGCATACATGACATGATGAACACGAAGGTGACGACGACAACAACAATGGGGGACAACGAGCAGCGACCGTAGCAACAGTAATCTGTGACAGGATGTGTCAAATTTTTCTAATATTACGTAAATGAAAAAAGGCAGTCCTAGAGGTTTGCTTTATGTGTGAATTAAATGACATGTCCTGATCAAAGATGACTCCAAGATTCCTGACATTGGTGCTAGAGGCCAAGGTAATACCATCTAGAGTAACTTTATCTTTAGACACTGAGCCTCTAAGGTTTTTGGGGCCAAGTACAAGAATTTCGTTTAACATCAGAAAACTGCAGCTCATCCAGGATTTTATGTCCTTAAGACATGTTTGTAATTTAGATAATTGATTAATTTCATTGGGCTTGATCAACAGGTATAACTGTGTATCATCTGCATAGCAATGAAAGTTAATGGAGTGATTCCTAGTAATGTTGCCTAAAGGCCAGGACACACCAACCCGACGGCCGACCATCGGCAGAAAAGCAGTCGTACTGATCAGTCGGCTCCCGTCTCCCAGAGTCGGTCAAAAAAGTGCCTCCAAACACACCAAACCGACGCCGACTGGAGCGTACGTTCTGTTCGTGTGCGAGGCGTAATACGGCCCCATAACAGCAGGCGCCGCTAATTTGTGTTGTCGCCCAAAAAAATGAAAACCGGAAATGACGGATCGCTCTAGACCTAGTAAACACAGGGCATGCTGTCGTCAGTCATTGTTTTCATCAGAGAGTGTTGATAGTAGTCAAGAAGGACACGATGGCTAATAATAACAAGATACTGGCGTTGGCGTAGTGTGTTTACCATCGTCACTTCCGGTTTTCTCGTGATTCGCTAGTCAAGGGCTAGCACTCCGCCACTCAGATTGGTCATTGAGGCCGACGGCCACTGGCCGATTCTACATGTCGAATCGACCAAAATGAACGCTGAAGCCGACTGACGATGGCACGGGGCACACCGAACCGACTCGAGTCATTGACCTCGCCTGACTGTCCGACGACGTCCGACAGCCGATAATCAGGTTGGTGTGTCCGGGCCTTAAAGGAAGCATATATAAAGTAAATAGTAATGGTCCAAGTACAGAACCTTGTGGAACTCCATGACTAACTGTAGTATTTATGGAAGACTCATCGTTAACGTGTAGGAACTGAGAACGATCTGATGTAGTATGACCTAAACCAGCTTAGTGCGGTTCCTTTAATGCCAATTTGATGCTCAAGTCTCTGTAAAAGAATATCATGGTCAATGGTGTCAAATGCAGCACTAAGATCTAATAATACGTACAGAGTACAGAGACAAGTCCATTGTCGGAAGCAATCAAAAGGTCATTATTAACTTTAACCAGAGCTGTCTCTGTGCTGTGATGAACTCTAAATCCTGACTCAAAATCCTCAAATAAGCTGTTGCTATGTAGAAAGTCACACAACTGCTTGGCGACTACTTTCTCTAGAATCTTAGAGAGGAAGGGTAGGTTAGAAATCGGTCTATAGTTGGCTAAAACCAAAAGAGTCCTCAAGTGTATCTGTCTATCAAATTCAGGTCAAGTGAACTGACCAATCCCAGGCAGGAATTATACCACCACCAGTGCCGCTGATGCCCCACCGTGTGGCCGTAATGCTCCTTCTAAAATGAACTACCCACATGGTCAGTTTGGCATTGCCATCTTTAGAACTGGACGTTGTGCCCTTAAAATAAAAGTTCCTCCTACACAAGTGCAGTTGGGCTGTGGGTGTGCTAACCAGAGAAGTCCATTAAGTATAAGTACTAATACCATCCCCACTGTCAAAATACTGCTGTACTGCATTCTAAACCTTACTAAGATAAAAAGTATTAACCGTGATGCCCCAGTAAATGTGTATTTATCAGAAGCCAAAGTGGCCTTGCCCTTAAAATGACTTAATTCCAGGCATGCAATCCCAAGCTCTTCCTTACTTAATGGATAGTCATTCATATGCTAGTTCTTCTACTAGTTTTGTCACAGATAAGCCTGTATGAGTGTATAGGTTGGCTGATAAGTAACAAGAAACTTAAGTATGGGCTGGGAGAGGCTTTTTTACTGCTTGCATCAAATAGAGGGAAACAAAAGAGTTTTTTGAAATAAAAGCTAAACAAATACATAAAGATGAATTAGTCATTGGTGACGGGCTATTTTAACTGGAATTCATCTGATGTTTATAATGCAGGCTTACCCATTGCTTACATTGTAGATACCATGGTTTCAGTTCTTTAATAGTCATTTTTTTGGAATTATTATCAAATACTAATATTATTGATATATTGTAATCAGTTTTGTTTAACTCTAATATCATTATGAACACCATCCATCATCCATCAGTGTGGGTCAGGCTTTAAATTACATACATACATACATTACATTATTGAGTGTGTGTGTGTGTGTCTTATGGTGGTTAGATTTATATTTATTTAAATAAATAAAAAAAATACATGCTATTCATTATAATACATATTAAATGAATGTATACAAGGGAAAAGGCCTGTGTTACAACAATCCCCTGATACTTAATTCCCGGTGACCGGCTGCAGCTCGTGTGACTCTGTATTGGATTGTATCAGTGTCTGTACACATAAATATCTGACCCATGTTCTGAGAAGTTCTGCTCTCAGATGTTACACTGTGAAGAAGTTGCACATTATCTGTATTTCTATTATTAAATGTTTTTTTATAAGGCATATTCATTTATGCTGCAAATTGGCGACAATTCCATCCTACATTTCGGCTTTTTGTAAAGTCAATAATCACAAAGTGCTGACATGGCTCAGCCACAAGAAGCCGGCCCGATGGAAAACACCCAGTTTTTAATTATGATGTAGCAGCTGGAAAGTAGTGAGTGTGAATGGAGCAAATCGTCGTTCCTTATGAGCAGGAATCATCGTGATTTAGTCAGGATGGATGGGGGGATGGAGGGAGGGAGGGAGCCAATGGAAGACTGGGCTACCCCAGGGAAATAACATGAGTCTCTGCTGTATGCACTCCTTCTTTGTCATTCTGTGCCCCCCCCACACACACACACACACACACACACACACACACACACACACACAGATGCTCTGACACCATACTTAACATGCACTGACTTTCAACCAAGCAGAAGGATGTGGAAAACTCTCAGATACAACATACGCACTCTTTCTGCAGGAAAAGCTGTGTAACTGCTTCCTGTGCTGGAGTGGAAGAAGTGAAAAGAGATGTGGTTTAGTGGTGTGAAAAGCATGTGTGATGAAAACATTTCTTCTAGATTCTGTTTTCCTTGATGGTATTTTCAGAGTATTTGTACTTGATAAAAGTAGATCTAATGTTTTCTTTGTGTGTGTGTGTGTGTGTGTGTGTGTGTGTGTGTGTGTTTAGGTATGTGGAGCGGAAGAACTTCTTGGAGCGGGTCGACCACCGTCAGTTTGAGTTAGAAAAAGCAGTACGACTGAACAACATGAAACAATGACACAGACGGATGGTGCGCACGCACGCACACACACACACACACACACACACACACACACACACACACACACACACAGAGAGTGGAACAGATCTTCAGACTTCCTGTATCTTGCTTTCTGTCTTTCTAATGACAGAGTTGCTATTTCCCCAGTACCGTGAGCTCCTACTGGTGCTGTGGCTCGGGTCTATTTCAGGAAGGGGATATTAATAGGCTGAGTTTGTGGAATGGCGGGGTGTTGAGTTTTCTCATACTTGTGAGAACCAATTAGTCTCGAACCTTCACACTGAGGACATTTTTGGGAAGTGAGGTCTTTCCTGCATGTCCTGCTCCCTAAAGAGACTTGGTTTACTTTTGTCCATTATTTCTATCCGTAGTTATCGTCACACTCATCAAGTTAATTGCTGAGATCAAGGAACACAGTGACGTTAATGAAGAGAAAACCGTAAGAGTTTGAAGTTTGAAATAAATCAGGACTGGTTAAGGTTAGGCTACATGTTGAGGTTAGGTGTGGCAGTGGGCAGAGCAACTGGCTAGGGAAGTATTTGTTTCACTGATAATTTTCCTTTGAAAGTTCACCTGATGTATATCTGGACCTTGCCTGGATCACATAAAACATGCTAATGCCCACCGTTTTGTTTTTGTTCTGTGCTCCAAAAACAGTTGAGCTAGCCTTTCTCCTTTTCTGTACTTACTTACAACTTATAGCTAATGTTTGCGAAACTCTAGCTAATTAGCCAGTGTACATCATTGCCTTTAAAACCATCTTCATAATGTGGGTCTCTTTTCAACATAGATTAGCCTAGCACATCTCAGCATATATATAGTACATGAAAGGAGGAAGTTGACCAAGGTTCCAAAAGGGGTGGGGCTAAGAAAGGGTAAATTCCCAGTTGTAATTTTCTATACTGTTGTGTACTGCAACACCAGAAAAAAACTTGTACTTGTAAAGATGTTAAAATGAAAAATTCTAGACATAGGTGCTTTAGTTAGTGGATAAAGAGTAGATGTTGTGAGAGGAGGCTCGTCATAAACAAATGTTTGGTTGGATTCATGCCATTGTGGGTAGAGTTTTCATTTTATTACATATTTGATATAATCATTATGGGACACTGAAACACCCTGCTGGCCGCTTCAATTATGATTAAATGTATTCATGCATTCAAGGTGAAAAGCTTTTCTGTAATGATCAATACCACAGTAAAAGTGGAATCAATCAAGCTGCATCTTGTCCATCATATCAGAGGAGGACCACACTGACTGGAGCAGATCTGATGGTGATGTCAGCCTGTCCCTCAGGCATTGTTCTGTCCTGGTTGTAAACAAATGGGGGAGAGAGTGGGGAGAGGAGAACTGCAAAAGGAGAGAGAATGAGAAGGGACAATTGATGTCTTGTTAGTTTGACTGTAGAGTCATTGATACAGTTATCTGTTTATTCATGTACATATTTAATATCCAATAAACACAAGCTAACCATTTTAAGAACGCTTGTTGATTTTGTTTTTGTTTGCTGACAAACTGTTCTCTTAAGTGATTGTAAAGAACCTCCACATCAATCATGTTTTTTCCATCACCCTGTTCTAACTCTGCTGCTGACTGCACCCCTCAAGTGCTCAATATTAAAAACTAAGAATTATGACATAAATAAGCACATGAATAAATTGTGTAAAACCTATAAATGAGCCACAATATACAACAAACCTAAAGAATAATTCTGGTTTCTTACCATTTCCATCTTATTTACGTAGTTTTATCCATTATTTCTATTAACATCCTACATACCAAGTAATTGCTGAGATCAGGGAACACAGTTAAATTATTAAAGAGGTGCTTCACTCTAAAACGTGTTATCTAAGTTGTAAACTGAGTTATGTGATTATACTGTGATGAAACACATCAATGCTGGTGTTAAAATTTACATTATTACCAAATATATGAAAATCTGCATTTTTGTGGGTTGAAGATTGCTCAACCTGCTCTCTACTGTTTTAAATCACCCTGAACGTTTTAGGACAAATGCTGAAGTCGCCCCAATAGGTTGACTCTATGTCACAACATTTATATGCATCAATCAGCCATAACATTCTGAGCACCTGGGCTCCCGGTGGTCATAATGTTCTGCAGCCCCAGACCAACAGACTGTGATGCACTGTGTGTTCTAACACCTTTCTATCAGAACCAGCATTAACTGTTTCAGCAGTTTGAGCTACAGTAGCTCGTCTGTTGGATCGGACCACACGGGCCAGCCTTCACTCCCCACCTGCATCAATGAGCCTTGACCACCCATGACCCTCTTTCCATTTTTTTTCCTTCCTTGGAGCACTTTTGATAGATACTGACCTCTGCAGACTGGGAACACCCCACAATAGCTGCAGGTTTGGAGATACTCTGACCCAGTCGTCTAGCTATCACAATGTGGCCCTTGTCAAAGTCGCTCAAATCCTCACGCTGCCCATTTTTCCTGCTTCTAACATCAACTTTGAGGACAAAATGTTCACTTTCTGCCTAATGTATCCCACCCACTGACAGCAGCCATGATAACCAGATAATCAGTGTTATTCACTTCACCAGTCAGTGCTCACAATGTTAGAGCTGACTGATGTATAAAAAACTGTTAATACCCTCTAAGCACAGGCTGGGGGCAGCCCACCCCCCCCAGCCTCCACTGTGAGTGGGAGTCTGTGAAACTGTTGCGCTCATCTTCAAATGTTTACTGATCAAGACGTATCATTTATTTATGCTAGTTTTTGCTAACCCTCTACTTATATTCTGGTGCAGTGGTTCGGACCATTGACAATATATGGTTTCGACTTGTGCTTTAGACTCTGTAGAAACACCACCGGAATGTAGTAGCTAACTTAAGATGTGATGTGTGTGTATGTATGTGTATCTGTATGTATATATGTATATATACGTATATATGTATGGAATCTTTAAAATGTACTTGTATTTTTAGCACAGATAGCCTAGCACATAGCATATCTAAGTACAGGAAAGGAGGAAGGAAGAGGGCAAAAAGGGGCGGGACTTAGCAAGGGTCAACTTAAGTATAGCATATTCTGCTTTCAGAATCTTGAATAAAGCAGCTTTATTATTGTACAAAGACAGAACTGCTCTTGAAAGTTGCCTAAAAACAGATTGTGATTATAATAAATCCTTCCCTCCCCGCACACAGACGGGTAGTGGGATTTTTATGGCGTAGCGGGGCTGACGGGGGGATTATCCTCACACATGTTCACGTACAGTTTATCACTGTTGAAGGTGTCTGCCGGAGTGTGTTGCCATAATTTTATTCTTGTCAGGAGTGTGAGACAACATTTACATCATCATGGAGCACTAAAACTCCCCTCCAATCAAAATGTCTTGACAGTGTTCACTGTAGTGGTTTCCCATAGACAGCCAGTGCAGTTTGAGGTAATCTAATGATGATGGACTCAATCAGTCAGCTGCAGTATGTCAGAGGGGGAACAATGGCTGGACTGGACTGCAGGATTAGTGTTTACTAAAAGGAAATCAGCACTGTACATCAACAAACTGAGTCTCATGTTTTATTTTATTTACACAATAGCCAGAAGGCTGATCATCCTTACATAAAGCTGCTACTGTTAATTATTTATAGACACATGATATCTTAACCATCAGTAAATCCCTTATCCAGTGTGTGCACCCTGTTGCAATGCAGTCAAACTGGATTTGAGTCTCATTAAAACCGTTAGTCATGAGGGATTGTTTTTATTCTGCATGCATTTGACAATTTAATTTCCTTGATGGCGTAAAAGACATACACCTTTTTTTTTTTTTTATTGCATCTCATTATCTATGACATCATCCCTAGGTTTTTAAAGGGACACACCATCTACTTTATATCTGTTGCTGGAGTAAGATCATGTGTATTTTAGATAAAATATAGAGGTAGCCCAGCATATTTATACTTTGAAATAACATCTATAAATTGACAAAAATATATAGACATCAAGTCTAAGTCAAAATTCACTCTGATAAAATACAAAATTCAAGTAAGTTCCAGAGTTTGCTAACAGATTTTCAAATTGTAAGGAAAAGAAAGAATACCACTGGCTGTATGGAGTGGTAGAAAAACTCTCATCTTTTGTTACTAGCCTTATGTACGTTCTTTAAAATTCCCCTCTAGACAAGTTTTATGACATACCAAAGTCTTCCTGGAGCAGGAATGTGTGTCTGAAGTGTTTTACACCAATGCTTTTGGGGGAGACCTAATTTTCCGGAGTGTGTGCCCAAAAACAATTTAACAAACATCAGTGTGATAAAAACCTAAAATGACAGAGAGACTCTTTGTGGAAATATTTATTTGATGTGTACTTTTTTAGTTTGGCAGCAAGCTTTATTACCTGTACTGCAGTGAGCCACCAGGGGGCGATCGAAGTTTTGGCTTGGAAATTGTTAAGTGAAAATGTACGCACATAGACAAGTGTTAGCATTACTCTATTATTTAAATAAGGAACTTAAATATACAAATATATATTTATACTGAACAATTTTCTCAATTAAGGCTTTTTGGGGAGTAAGAGTCTCTTTCAGGGGAGCCAATCTCCTAGTAGCACCCCTTTTATTTTATTATTATCCTGTGTATCTCATATTTTGTTTCCCAAAAAAAGTATGAGTTCCACATTAAAATTCTTAAAAAGTAATCTCTGAATATACAAATGTTGATTTCTAAAGTTTTCCTGCTGGACACAAGATGTCTCCTACTTCACTGTAAAGTCCATTCTCAGTGTTCTGCTGGTAGGCCCCGCCCCTTAAAATCAGATGTTCAATGAGCACAGAGAAACTTTCCACTTTCAGCAGATGAATGTGAAAACATCCTTCTAGAGTCAAACTCTGCACAGACAGCATTCAGACAGCACACTGTAGGGACAAGAAGAAACACTGATTTCTGGGAACTTTCTATTCATTGTAATTTATTACCAATTACTCGTTACTCTTTTAAAAAGTAATATTACTTTACTTATTACTCCCTGCCAACAGTAGTTAGTTACACTGCTAGTTATGTTACTTGTATGCTACTCCCCTCAAAAGTGATAATTGATTATACAAAAATGAATCCAAGGATGTAATTGGATTGTTGGATTTCAAATCAGTTGGGAGTGACAACAAAAGTAATTATTTTATTTTTATTGTGGGGGTTCTGAAAGAAAAAAAAGGTTATTCGTTAATTAATAGAATTATTCTTTTAGGTAAAATATTTATGTTTAAAGCTCAATCAAGAACATCTGAATTTTAGTTTCTTTAAAATACACTTCAAAACCAACATCTTTGCTTAAGTGACTTTGTGTTATGTTTTGTTTTTAATTGTTTTAAATTTTAATTTATCTTTTTTGTTTTTCTTCCTGTCCGAATTTATTTATGTATGTATTATATCCACTCATGTTAGTTGTCTCCAATGTTTTACAAGTAAAAATGATTTGTAGTAAATGAGGTAAACCGCTATGGTCCTTTAAAAGCTCGTCCCAAAATAATGCCCCGGGGGGAACCATGCTGTGGATTTCTCATAAATTGTAGACATTACAAGTGGTTGTAGTGAGACGGTCTCTTTAAGGCTGGACTGGTTGATCCCTGTAGAGGGACGGCGGCAGGCAGCGGCAGGCAGCGGCAGAGGCGGCGCTCTCCTCCCGTTCCCTGACGGTACCGACCTGTCAGCACAACGGTGGCAGCGGCCTGACCTCCCCAACCGTCTGAGCGTCGGTTTACCAGCTTTTATTGGAGCATTTGTGAAGGAGTCCGTGAAGGAATCCGTGACAGAGGAGAGGAGAGGAGAGGAGAGGGGAGGAGAGGGAGGGGGAAGGGAAAGGCGGAGGACCTGAGGAGAGACAGCCGGCTCTGCTGGACACTGAGGCGGCCGCACCGCCGCTGCTGTTGCCGCAAAAGCCCGCTATTACTGCAGACGCACTCGGAGCTCTACAGCTGGATGTTTGCCTTTCAGACGGAGCTCAGCATGCAACGGATGCAGCAGGACTGACAGTTGGGGAGCCGTGTGGAAAAGTAGCATCTGGAAAAATAAAGAAATAAAGAGCACCGTGCGTTTTAAAGGCAGGAGCCGAGGAGAGTGACAGCGCCAGCAAAATGTCTGTCCCTGTAAGTATGTCAGTCTTGAGGCTCAGGAAGCACTTTCCTGCCCTTCAGTCTTCCTTGTCAGACAATTCTCCTACATGGCAGAGCGAGACTTTAACCAGTAAACAGTAGGGATGGAACCATGCACCCCTTTCATGATTCCATACTAATACACCATACGATTTTATAAGACAATTTATGACCAGTGTTGGGCAGTAAGGCATTACTAGTAATAATATCACTTCCCCCACTAACTAGTAGCTAATTACTTAATGATTTCAGTAATAATATTACAGTTACCACCCAAAAAGATAACTATCAACAATACAATTACAGTCTTACTTGTTGTCACCCTCTGATTCATTCTTTTGATCCTGCACATCACTAAGCAGGAAACGACCTTAGAAGATGCAAATGCTTACATTCTGTAACTGGAAATATTCCCATAATGTTAATCTTAAAGCTGCAGTAGGAAACTTTTATAAAAAAATAACTTATTTTTCATATTTGCTGAAACTCAGCTCTGATTGGTTGTTTTCTTTCAGGCCCGGTGGATTCTTGTAAATACCATTAGGAGCACTGGGAGGAGCCTGATTTTTTCACAGATTATCTGTCTGGTGTACTACTGAGAGGATATAGTGAGAGTTTCAGCAAACATGACAAGAAAAATATATTTTGAAATTACCTACTGCAGCTTTAATCTGCCACTGGCTAAGTTCACACATTTTGTTGTGTTTTTGTCATTTGTGACTTATATGAGGCAGTGTGAACAGCACAGATCAAGTTGAATCTGATCTTTTCAATTTAGATTTGGTACACTTTCATACATTACAGGCCTGATTCTTTGTAGTGCAACCTCAGTCATATGAACGGTCATATCAGAATTCATGTGACTTTTATGTCACTCTAGATTGACATTTGTCATGCGGGTCACTTCAGGTTCACACTGGAATCTGATATGGGTTACATTTAAAACAACAGACACAACTAGATCTGAGCAACAAATCAGAATTTAGGCTTGCAGTGTGAAGGTAGTGTTTATCAGTGCTCTGTGTGAGACCACATACTGGGCCTATATAGCTATTCTTGGCAGGCCTGGCCTGTCAACACATTTAGACAGATGATATTACTGCCGGAGTGTGTTCAAGGGATGGGTTTGCTTTTGCACACAGTCCCAGATGTTTCAGTGCAGGCTCCTGCTGCTGTTGTTGGAAATGGTCTTGATGGAGCTTGTTGTGTTGTTCTTTATCACATTCCTAAGGATCTGTTTCACAATTTCTGCCTGGAGGGTCTAATGACGAGGTGTGTGTGTGTGTGTGTGTGTGTGTGTGTGTGTGTGTGTGTGTGTGTGTGTGTGTGTCAGTGTAAGCCAGTCTGTGCACTCAGCTACACCCAAAAATGGGAAAGGCCTTACATTTATAGTATTACTTCCATTATTAGAAATGCACAGTATTGATTTCCTTGTCAGATGTGATGATGATAATATATACTTACTTTCATCAACAGAGCATCAGACTGTGTCTAGTTTCAACTGTCATGCTGTTCGCACAAGCGTATATTCACTTTTTATTATGTCCTGATTCAGTGTCTACAATTGTTTGCTCTTGCGTTTGTTTGTGCCACAGGCTACAGGCTATTAAAGCTTTCTTAGAATGTGCTGTCAATATTTGGGAAGAAATTGTGTATAGGTCTCCTTTCTCTAAAAAAAACAGACCGGCTGATTAAAACCATTAAAAGCGCTGAATAAAGCAGTTCCACCTTAAAAATCACTGCTTCTCCAACGCTGTTGGACAGACAAAGGACGTCCTGCAATACACTGTCCATTGATTTTATTGGCCTATAAGCGCCACCCCTTCAACTGAGCAGTGAGCAAGTGTATTGAGTTGTAGTTCTGATAATAGCCAGTAGGTGCTGGCTCTTAGAAAACACCAAATGTACTCAAATATATATATTTCTTTTAAAAATGTAAATGCTCATTGCATTTTAGATATTGTGACTTAAACAGGGGCATGTGTTTTGAGGTGTTTGGTTCATTGAAAGCCATTCTCTTATCAAAGCCCTCACAAGAACTCCCTCAGAAGTTGTCAGAGCTGCACACTGTAGTAAAGTTGAATGGTCACAGTCAATGGTCAAGAGAGCATTGCTGTAGTGATCTGTAGTGATGCATTGTGGATAGGTGGTTCCACCCTCTAAGGTGCAGAGGCAGCGGCCAATTTAATTCAGTTCAGTTTTATTTGTATAGCGCCAATTCATAACAGAAGTTATCTCAGGACACTTTCCAATTAGAGCAGGTCTAGACCGAACTCTTTATAACATTATTTACAGAGACCCAACAGTACCACCATGAGCAAGACCTTGATGACGGCGGCACGGAAAAACGTGCACATCAACAACAGTAGCAACAACTACACTAATAGTAGTGACTGATGATGATGAACATGAAGAAGACGATGGCGTCGACAACAACGATGGGGTACAACAAGCAGTGACCACAGCAACAACAGTAACCGCAGTAATAATAATAATAATAACAATAATATCAGTGATATTAGCAATGGCAATCTAGCAGGACCATGGCAGGAGGCTCCACCAGGATCGATAAGAACCTGCGAGACGAGAAAGCACAAGAACTCCGGGGAAGAAGTGAAGTTAGTAACATGCATTAATGGAACATGAATGAGTGCGGAAGAGAGAGGAAGAGAGGAGCTCAGTGCATCATGGGAAATCCCCCGATAGTCTAGGCCTATAGCAGCATAACTAAGGGATGGTTCAGGACTCACCTGATCCAGCCCTAACTATAAGCTTTATCAAAGAGGAATGTCTTAAGCCTACTCTTGAATGTGGTGAGGGTGTCTGCCTCCCGAACCACAACTGGAAGCTGGTTCCACAGGAGAGGAGCTTGGTAACTGAAGGCTCTGGCTCCTGTTCTACTTTTAGAGACTATAGGAACCACAAGTAGCCCAGCATTCAGAGAACGTAGTGTTCTAGAGGGGTCTTTTTCTAGTTCCAGTCAGTACTCGTGCTGCAGCGTTCTGAATTAATTGGAGCGTTTTAATGGACTTATTGGGGCAACCTGATAATAAAGAGTTGCAGTAATCCAGCCTAGAAGTAACAAATGCATGGATTCGTTTTTCTGCATCCGTCTGTGATAGGACACGGTTGCGGTTGCCTTCTCTGTGTGGCAGGATGTGTTCTGATCTGCTATACTTGGCATTCACACATGGACTTGCTGCCTCCTGCTGTGTGATGAGACACACTGGAGATTCAGATCTGTGCGTGTCAAGCATGTGTGTTCCTGCCACGGAGGAGGGATTGTGAAACACAAAGGTACAAACTGTGATGTTGAAAGTGACTGCCTTTAGTGTGTGTGTGTGTGTGTGTGTGTGTGTGTGTGTGTGTGTCCTTCCAGTCAACTCCCATCCTGTCTGACAGCAGAGTCACACAGACAGACAGAAGGTTGTACCATCTCCTCAGCAGGGAGGACACAAGTAGGTCTGCATTCTCCAAAGTTTGTCTGCTCACAGCTGTCTGAAAGTACACATGGTGCTTCTCAAACTATTTTCGTGAAACCTCAGTGGAAAAGACAGAACACAACAGTCTCCTGATAACTGAACCATACTGCAAGCTTATTTTAAGGCTGTTGGTTTCATGTAGTTTCTGAGAAATCTAACAAACTGATCCAAAAATAACTGATGATATTGAGCCTATTTGCTCCATGTATCCAGTGAGTTCTACAAAGCTTAACCTCACTAATTTCACTCCACCGTAACTTGTTTGGCAATAGAATATGCTGATTGGTCATTGAAAAAAAATACTATAGGCATGCCTTGATCAGACTTTTTGGAGCTGATACTGTTCACTTGATTTAATGTCATGAGAATGAGCTGACCTGATACTGATCACCGATTGGTTCCTGTCCTTTGATGTCTCTTACAGACAACTTTTGCAAAAGAGACCCTGTAAACGTGGTTCTTTAAAGCTGCAGTAGGTAACTTTTCTAAAAGATAACTTTTTGTAATAATTTGCTAAAAATCTGATTTGCGTCACTTTTGACTGCAGTCTACACGTAGCCTAAAACATAAAGCAGATCAGATAACCCCCCCCCGTTTCAAATGAATCTAAAGCTGTGTAAACTACAGGCTGCTCCAGTTATGAATGTATAACTTATTTTTTATAAGATTAAGGTTTCTAAGTCATATTATTTAAAGGTAAAATCTCTACAAATCTCTGGCTCCTCCTAGTGCTCCTAATGACATTTGCAAGAATCCACAAGGCGTAAACAAAAACAACCAATCAGTAAGATGTAAAAACGCTTTGGGTTGGAGGCTTGAAGAAAGTTAATTCTTGAGTCTCATTCCCAGAGTCAGAAAGCGTCTGTATTTGACGACCTGGGAATGAGACTCAACAATCTTCCTTGGAACTGGTTGTTGGTTTTATACAGGCCTGCCTAACACTGGCTCCGTATAGGGCCTTTACATGCATTTCGTGGCCACTGTAGTGTAGATCTGAGGTAGTTGCAACCTGCAAATACACTGCTAGATGCCAATACATCCTGCACACAATTGTAAAGAAACTGGACTTCTGAACTGGGCTGTTAGCTGACTGGTTAGTTGAAAGTCCAGTGAGACGTCGTTTGCTGCTTTAATTTTATTTTATGGGATTCAGACAATTTATTGATTGAAAATAGTGTTCGTATGAGTACATTTAGTGCTGTTAAAGATTTGTGTAGATAATAATTATTAGAAACACAACAGGATTTCATGCTGGTGATGGTATTAGTTCAGCGGCATGTTTCCATGGTTACAGAGAAATTACTTACCTACCATGATAGTGGGCTTACTGCTGGTGTGTGTGTGTGTGTGTGTGTGTGTGTGTGTGTGTGTGTGTGTGTGTGTGTGTGTGTGTGTGTGTGTGTGTGTGTGTGTGTGTGTGTGTGTGTGTGTGTGTGTGTGTGTGTGTATTTGCTCAGTGACTTGGAGGAAGGAGCATTGTGCAGTCTGTTTGCAGTGCGTCCGCTCAGTTTT